TCGCAGGTCTAAAGTTCGAGATTGATCACACCTGCAACATGTTGACTTGGCACACGTCAATTCAGCTTTGCTCTAAGCGTCAATTTACATTGTCAATTGCCAGGTGGTGTCACGTTAAGGAGAACAACGTGACTGTGTCAGTAAACGAGATCTATTCATTCGAACCCGGCGTAATACCCTGCATCTTCTGGAGAATGCCTATAGTGAGTGACATGCTGTAGTGTGCGTTATTTTTAAATGACTTGGCGCCTAAACACCCGACCGGTGAGATTGTAGGTGCTCTGTGCGTGCATCAGCTAGGGCAGTAAACATTTTTTCGTACTTCTCAATCCATTGCAAACGGACGAGCTCATTCGGCTTTCCGTTGATGGCTGAAATCCGCTTTTTGCCTGGTTGTTCAATGACCGAATACAGCCCTTTACCGCTGAATGGTTCATTCACCTTTTTACTATAGGCAACAACGATTTTGCGACCAGATTATAGATATCGTCTACCCCGTTCTTCTTGCGATGGTAATGCCTGTTGCTGTCATTTTTTTGAAAAAGATCAGCTATGCTGCTGCGTATGTCGGCTTGCTGCGTAGTCGTATGAGTTCATCTCTCAGAAATCTACACTGAGTAATAAAATAGGTAAACTGTTGCGTTTTTTAACTTCCTCTAAAATTAATGCGGGATCGCAGAGTAAAGCTACCATCCCGAAAGTTGATGATACTCGTCGCTTTTAATTTCCTTATAAATTAACTACGAGCTTGAATTAGATCAGTTTATCGGAGGTCTATAGGCTCAGACCGATATTTTTTTATATGAATATTTGGGCCGAACTCCTACAGCCGCAGCGGGTAATCGCGTTATATTGGTTAACTGTCGACAAGAAGCTAGTAGTATACTTTATTGCAAGGTGATACCATACCAACAGCACAGGTACTAACCAAAAGCCCATACACGTTTATTTCGCCGATATTCCGCCGCTCCATGGCGCAGTTGAGAGGGGTTCTGCTCGTTAGTAGGTCCACCAGCGTTCGCCGTCTCTTTTCCTGTAGATACTCCAGTAAATGCTGGGAGACCCACTGACGAGCCGAATCCCTCGCAGCTGCGAAATAATGCAGCGGCGGAATATCGGCGAAACACGCGTGTATGGGCTTTTGGTTAGTACCTGTGCTGTTAGTATGGTATCACCTTTCCCCAACTTTGATACTACTGTTTGGGCCGAGGTATATCCGCTACTGAGAAAAATCGTCAAATATTCACAAGCTGACAACGGGCGGTCGGCAGTATGTAAACAGTGGATGATTTATCATACTGACAGCAAAGGCGCTGGCTAAAAGTCCAGAAACATGGTTTTTGCTGATCATATGGCGCCACATGACGCAGCTGCGAGGAGCTCGGTTCGCCCCACATGTGCTCTTTGGTATATGAACTCAAGTCTCCATGTTGGCTTTTTCAACTCCCAAGGGAACTATAGTTCACACGTCTAAAACAACACGGAGAATGGTGACGAATGGTGAGCCGGAACCCTCGAAGCCACGTCCTGCAAGGGCAAAAGTTTGGCAAAACACGCGTGTCCGGGATTTTAGTCGGCACCTGCGTTGCCAAAAGAGCAAACCATTCAAATCCTTGATTTTGTTTATGCAAGACTGATCATCCGACTCTGGGGGCAAATGCATAGTAAGCGTCTAAAGTCATGAAACGTTGGAAGAGAATCATAAGGGCTCCTCAAAGCAGAAAAAGCAGTCAAATACGGTAGGTGTGCTAACTCATGTAATGTTAACCAAAATTCTGAAATGCGTTTTCGACACGAAAAGATTCCTTAAGTAGGGTTGTAAGATTAACTACTGTGCAGCGTTATCCTATAATAATTCGGTTACCTTAGAATGCTGGCTTTCGCATGACCCTTTTCAGCCTGCCCGCAAAAAACTACACTCCGAAAAAAGGGCTACCCAAGTGGCATGGATTTTTCTCATTTAATTTCGATGCCCATGTAAACTTAAACATATTTCATAGAAAACACGCATAAACTATTCATTCCTTCACTCATTTAGTAGAAATCTACGTTTCCTTTAAATTTTATGTTTGAAGGAAGGGTATAATTTGGTTTTAAAAGGTTTTCACTTATGAGATTTTTAAGACAGGAAAATGTTTGTTCATGAAACTTTCTGTCCCTGCAATTAGTAGTGTTAGTTGTAGAGTTTACAATATGGTTAAAATTTACTGAAAAATTCTATGAGCCCCATATAGTATCCTCTTTATAGCGCATAGAAACGTACGATTTTCCGTACACGGGAAATATACAGCTTGTAGGTTGGAAAACTTGAGGGCAAATGTAACGGCAGTTAAATTTCAAAATTATTCAGGAAATGGAAAACTCCTCCAAACTGACTTTTATAATCCCATCAAGTATGAAATTTGAAGGACATAATTCTCTACCAAATGAGAAAAATAATGATTACTAATATGTACGTTTTCTATGAAATATACTCAGACTTACCTGGTCACCGATAATTCATGTGAAAATCCGTACTAATTAAGTAGTCATTTTTGCAGAGTGTATTTCTTTGCTGGCGGCCAGAAAAAAAGTTCATTCGAAAGCCAACATTGTAAAAGTAACCGAATTGTCATAGGGTTGTGCTGCACAGTAATAAATGTTACAACCCCACTTAAGAAATCTTTTCGAGTCGAAAACGCATTTCAGAATTCTGGCTAACATTTCCTGAATTGGCACACATTCTGTATGCTAGCAGTGGGCGCAGTAGTACGTTCTTTATCTGCGAATCATCACACGAGTGATCTGGTTCGTCTCCCCGAGGCATGGAATGTTAATTCATTTGGGTTGTTACGGCAAGAAGAGACATCTGCTCTGGAATAAAGCACCTTAACTACATGATTGAGATCTACCAGCTCAAGCTGCCCGGTCGTTCGAACAGGGTCGTGTGCAGTGAGGCCTTTGTAAACATCCTGGACACTGTCGATCTGCTCACGGCAACTCGTCGTCGGCAACTCCCTCATCCGATCACTTCTTGGACAGTTATCTCAGAATATGTTAATTAGCGGCAGCTAATGCATACAGGTTGTGGGTTATAGGCGTAAAATTGCCGCTCGTGGACATCTTCGCGCCAGTCCACACCCACCGGGCACGAATTCATATTGTTGACAGAAGGGACTGGGCTAGACGTGTCTGAGTATGGACAGAGAGTAAAGGAGTTAGTGTCTGTGAACATGAGAAGGCGCGCTGACCGTGTCTGGCGCGTATCGGTGTGAGTCGGCACTGAAATCGTGGTCTGTAGCCTTGGCCGCGGTCAGTGTGTTCGGAGGTGCAATTAGCTCGTCGGGTGTGTTTGGCGAAAGGCTCCAAATAGCGAGCTGACTATCGGTGAGATAAGATCCGGAAATGGCTGCGCAATTCTGCACCGATCTCTGCGTGCGAATACTATTCGGGTGAAAATGTTGCCGTAATTCGACGGAACAGTATGTGAGAAATGCGCGACTATTCCACTAAATTTGATGGATTTCAAGTCAAAGATTCACACAAAACTTCGGATCAAATGTAGCATTGTTTGATCGGAAGAGTTGACGCCAAGTTTGCGCATTAATATATGAGAAAATATGATTAAGCTCGTGGCTCCCGGCGGGTCTCGTAGCCCAGGTGGCAAGATCATAGATTGAACTAAGGCTGTCGTGGGTTCGAATCCCGCCGAGGCGCCAAGTTTTTATACTTGGGTCAAAATAAAGATTAAACAGTTTTGAACGGGAGAAATGTTAGGAGGGTTTGTGGTATGCTTAACAAAGCATACCAAACTCATGCAAAACACGCAGTAGTTTTTTGTATGCTTGTCCATTTAACTCTGAGTGTTTTCTGCTATCCAGTTGAAAGGATATAATTTCTATTAACGGTCATGTTCTGGGCATTGTGGGAATAAAACAGGCGAAAAACTGACCTGATTTGCTCGCGCGATTAAATTTCGTGCAGAGAGGAGTTGTCCCATCCTATGGTCATTGATGATGATGATGACCAAAGTTAGTCCTATTAGAGCGGGCACAAACTGGTACTTCAAGTCCACAATACGATTCTGCGAATAATCCACCATTGAAATTTCTCCTCACTTCACTGTACCTTCAAGATGCCAAGGTTTCTAAACTTAGTATTACTTCAGGCCACGATAGGATTCATTGGTCGAAAGATACCTAACACGGTTAATGAGGCTAGGATTTGGAGGGCTGATTGCTTACTGAGAGGTTTGTGCTTTGAAACTGCTCGCGTATAAAAATTAATCGAAATTTCTACACCCTGGGGTGGGGTGGGGTGGAGGAGGAGGAGTTCTCCCAGCAGATGTTCGCGACCCTACTCTCCGAAGGGTGTGAAGCAACGATGACTGATGATGTCACGCCTGAAAGATCCATCAGAAGCCATTATTAACCCAAAGCTTCGTGAAAGCTTCACTAAGCCTCAAGGCACAACGAAATAAGCATGGGCTTTAACCCAACCGGTGAACGCAATTTTAGCACAGTTAATACAATAGATTCGGTAACTTATGAAATGTAACCGAAATTTTGAAATACGTTCTAGACTCGAAAAAAATACTTAAGTAGGATTGTAAGAGTGATCAACGTGTGGCATAGTGCGACGATATTTCAGTTACTTCGAGAAGCCGGCTTTCAAATGAATTTGCTTCCGGCCGTCTGCGAAAACTATGCTCTGCAAAAAATGACTACTTGAGTAGTATACATTTTTCCACTGATTTTCCATACCCCTGTAGATTCAACTATACTTCATAAGAGACATGAATAAACTTATTCATTCTTTTACTCATTTGGTAAAACATTACGTCTTCCTCCAATTTT